ATACGGTTTTCTGAGAGCACACATCCGAAGCACACGGACAGAAAGCGGCTGTCACAGCATGTGAGTACTAAACGGAGCTCTCATTCACACACACGTTTACGTTAAAAACTCGGGTAACACACGAGTTACAAAAAACAGTCGGTTATGTCTGTGAAGGTAAACAGCAGGGAAATCGCTTGTTTATTTTAGATCTGTGTGGCAGCAGAAATATACAGTAAATAAATCAATAAATCCACTGAACACAGTCAAATGCTTTGTTTCTGAATGAATCAGTCGTTTGAAGGATTCGGTTGAATCTCAATGACTCACTCATTAACAGTCACTTGCTGCCACCTACTGGCAGTTTTAATCTCACGTTTCGACTGTTTTTTTATGTTTTAGAATCATTTCAAATAACAGTATTCAACGTTATATGTTAAAAACAAAACATTATTTATTCATCTGTAACTGCAGGTTTGTACTTTTACTTGAGTATGGCTTTCAGGTACTTTATACACCACTATGGCTCTGATGGTCTCAGAGCAACATTTTACTGAACAATACCAACCTGATGCGGAAGGGGGCGTCGTAACGCCACAGTGCGGCGAGTGTCTAACCTCTCTTCCGACCAGTTAGTTACCAGTGAGGGTGGAATTTGAATATGAGTCTTCATTCGTTGAACATCGCCAACCATACTGACAAAATTTCTCCTCGTCGGTGAAATCATACCAGACCTCAGCTTGCCTAGACGCCCGAAGCATGTGATGAAAAGCAGGGCATTTTCTCACCAAAGAAAACTCCTTGCTTTTATTGGACATCGTGTCACTACATTATGTCATAAAATAATAGACTTGTTTTAAGCAAACTGCAACCACAACAATATAGTTCAATATTTTGTTAAAATTAACCAAAACTATTTTCCCCCGCCCAAATTCATTAGCTTTCCACATGCTATTAAGGTTGCCGTCCGTTGTGCGGTCGCATGTGTGTATTTTTCGCCAACTGTTTGTATCATTTAAAATCTTATAATTTTTGTTATACTTCTTATAATAAATAATACATTTTCTAATATATGCTTTAAAAATAATTATACAACCAGTCTCATCAGTAACTTCACCCTAGCCCACAAAAGTTTAAAGGGGTCATATGATGCGATTTCAAGTTTTCCTTTCTCTTTGGAGTGTTACAAGCTGATTGTGCATAGATAAGATCCCTGAAGTTGCAAAGACTAAAGTCTCAAAACCAAAGAGATATTCTTTATCAAAGTTAAGACTCTGCCACGCCCCCCTAAAACGGCTCGTTCTAACACGCCCCCACATATCTAGGTCACTATGTGGGAATATTTGAAAAGCATCATATGACCCCTTTAAATATTTGTGATAGTCGACCATAAACTTATGAGAACAGCGCTTTACATTTTATTTACCTAGTTTGATGTCAAATCGCTTTAATTATTTGTGAACACACTCACCTTGCTACAGGAACGCCAAGTAATACGCGATCCTCGAGCTGCCATTGGTCCCCATGGAAATTCGCATGACGCAACTGTTGTGTTCTCACACAAGTGATGTTTGATAATGCATTGAGTTAGTGTTCAGTGATGCATCGAGTTTGATTGTCTGGTCGGGACAATTCTGTCATGCCTGACCAATGTATGTGTTCATTTACTGGGGTCTGAAACAGAGAGGTTAAGTAAAAAGATACGATAAGTTGATGTTACTCGCTATGTCGGTGTGATCCTTATCAAATGCAACATTTGGCGACGAGGATGGCTGATATCGCACTACCACCTCCTGCTCCTTTCCCTGGACTCGCTGGTTACAGTCCTTTGAGACTTTCATCTTGGCAGTGGGGCTGACTGACGTGAGTGCAGCCCGCAAAAAAGCGTTGTTACGGCATTGCTTGGGAGCCGAGGGTCAGCGCGTGCTGGGAGCGCTTGAGTCGGGCGCCACAAGCGATTATGACACAGCCGTGGAACTACCGACCGCACACTTTGCAGCCCCACAGAGCGCTCTCTTGTGACGTTTTCTGTTCCGCGAAAGACACCAGCTTCCCGGTGTGTCTGTGCAACAGTACGTAGCCAACTTGCGGGGATTGGCCAGCACATGCAAGTTCGGTGCGTTGCAGGACGAAATGATTCCCGACCAGTTAATTGAACATACCAATGATGCAAAAGTGCGTGAAACTCTGCTGTTAGAACCGGATGATTTATCACTGTCTTGGGCAATCACGATTGCATTACGAACAGAGAGTGCAGCTGCATGTGCGTCGGCTCTGACCAAACAGCAAACAATCGCGGACTGCTCGGCCCCCTCCCCCATGCCACTATCAACGTTACAACCCAGCCAGAATGACACATTGGCGGCAGCAGACTCCTCTGCAGTTATGCTACTGAGGCGCCAGCAGCAGTCTCGGCCACGCCCAGAAGCACAAGCATCAAGGCCCTGTGATAACTGTGGATCTTCATCTCATCTGTCTAGAGCACAGAACTGCCCAGCCCGTGGCCAAACATGCAACATATTGTAACTGGTAAACGCAATCATTTTGCTTCAGTCTGCCGCTCCGCTCCAGCTGTGTCAGCCCAAACACCCACTATCATTCACAATGTCTACTCTGGACCAGTCTCATTTAAAGCATGTTCAGTGCGCCTAAATGATGTGTGTATCCCACTGCTTTTGGACACTGGTGCCAGTGTGTCTCTCCTGAATATGCACACATACAGCACTTTTTTCGGAGCACTGCCACTTTCGGCACCCTCTGCTTCACTCTGTGGCTATGGGGACTCAAAGATTGACTTAGTGGGTTCCCTGCAAGTGACTGTTGGGTATGGCAACAAGATGGTGCCCAGCTTTACCTTCCATGTTGCCCGTCGCGGGGCCAACCTGATGGGTCTGGATTTGTTCTCAGCTCTGGGATTTTCTCTAGTTGACACGAAGGGAGCTGTGATCCTGACAGTCTCCACGCCGTGGCAGGAAAAGTGGCCATCCCTGTTTGAAGGCTTGGGCTGCCTCACTGCTTTTGCCCATCAACCTCTCCTGAACCCTGCCATTAAACCAGTCATCCAACCACTCCGACGCATTCCCTTGGCTCTCCGTGATGGTGTCTCGGCTGAGCTTAAGCAGCTGCTGGACGTTGGCATTATTGAACCAGTGGATGCGTCGCCCTGGGTCTCAAACCTGGTGGTAGCTCAGAAGAAATCAGGGGCCCTACGGGTGTGTGTCGACCTGCGAGCGGTAAATAAGGCAGTGATCCCGGACAGGTTCCCTCTGCCTACCTCAGAAGAGCTCATTGCTCAGTTCCATGGCTCAACCGTGTTCTCTAAACTGGATCTCAGACAGGGCTACCTACAAGTGCCTCTCCACCCTGACAGCAGAAACCTCACAGCCTTTGTGACACATGCAGGTGTGTTTCGCTACACACGTATGCCGTTCGGACTCAGCTCCGCCCCCAGCTGTTTCCAAAAAATCATGGTGTCGGTGTTGGCTGGTATACCGGGGGTGGCCATTTACCTGGATGATGTGGTTATCCATGGGCCCACCCCCGAGAGTCATGATGAACGCCTCAGCAGAGTCTTTGCAGCCCTAGCTAAACACAAACTAACCCTCAATGCTGAAAAATGTGTTTTCTCTGCACCGATTATTGAATATGTGGGATTCCGGCTGTCGGCAGATGGCGTCACACCACTTCAATCAAATGTAGATGCCATACTGGCAATTCTCGAACCCAGCTCAGCTGCGCAGTTCGCCTCCTTTTTGGGCATGACGGACTACTACCTGAAGTTCCTCCCACATTATTCTGCTACCACTGCCCCACTACGGCGACTGCTGCGTAAGGATGAGCCATGGGTGTGGTCACAGGCATGCTCTGATGCTGTGCGTGCGCTCAAGGTGCAGCTCACAACAGCCCCAGTGTTGGCTCACTTTGATATCTCCAGCCCCACCTGGGTGGCCTGCGATGCGTCAGCTACAGCCATAGGAGCAGTGCTGTCACAGACCCAGCAGGGTGTTGAGAAGCCCATCGCCTTTGCGTCACGGGCCCTCAATCAGACAGAGCAGCGGTACTCAGTGGGGGAACGTGAAGCATTAGCCTGCATCTGGGCCTGCGAGAGGTGGCACTTGTATCTCTATGGCCGCGCTTTCACCCTAAGGACAGATCACCAGGTCCTGACTGCACTACTTTCCACATCTGGGACAGGCCACAGGCCACTGAGGCTACACCGCTGGTCCGACCGTCTTCGCCAGTATAACTTTGACCTGAAGTTCACCCCAGGCAGAGACAATGTTGTGGCCGACCACACCCCACCACACACACGCACACCGACACAGACCAGGTGGAACGGGACATTGTCCAGATGTTACACACACCCCTCCAGGCCGTCGTATCGTTACAAGAACTGAAGGAGGCATCGAAAAGGGCCTTATAGGTAAGTAATAATATTTTGTAACTGATACAGAACTTAATAGGTAGCCAGTGCAGAGACTGTAAAATTGGGGTAATATGATCATATTTTCTTGACCTGGTAAGGACTCTAGCCGCTGCATTTTGGACTACCTGTAGCTTGTTTATTGAAGATTAATAAACTTCAATAAACGTTTATTAATTTAACGTTTAATAAATAAACGTTTATTTATTCAAATACCTCAGCAGGCTCAACCTCAGCAGGCATTAACGCATGTGTCTCTTCAACAACACTGCTGGGGAGATATCCCAGACGAGCTTCCTGGTCTCCATAATATGACCCTTGAATCTTCACAAACGGTTATCTTCAGTTATACTGTGTGACTTCATTTTCAGAGGGGAAAGCATTTGTTTTTGCACACTTTGACAATACAAGAAAACCATGGAAGTTGGTTTTATGCACTATTATGCATGCAGTTTCTTGGACCTCATATTAACAGAGATATTAGTTACATTTATATTTGTTAAATTTTCAGAACTATAAATGAAAAGGATATACTGTATATATATATATATATATATATATATATTCACACATGGTGGTGATCAACTATAGCATCTTAAAATTTACAGTTTCCCTTAAAACGACATAAAACTTTTAAAAAATCATGTCCATGTAGTTTGTTAACTACTAAGGCAAGTTGATTGCTTATTCTTATTCTTGTTTTTTTTTCTTTACCAAACTGTTCTATAATATAAAAATAGACAATTCAACAAATTCATATTATTATTTTTAAACAGTATTTATTAATCTAACTGTTCAAATTTTGATTTTAACAATGTATCATTAAATGTTGAAATTAACATCTAATAAAGTTTTTTCATTGTTAAATTCAGGTTAACTAATATTCATTAGTTAAATTTAATTATGTTAACAAACGGAACCTTACTGTAAAATGTTAACAAAGTTATGTAAGCTGAAATGCAACATTTAAAAGAAAGCACTAAAGGGAAAAAAAAACTATCCTGAAATTTCCCCACAATAAATATATGAAAGTTGCTGGTTGCATTACTCACGGCTGCACTCTGAATCGGCGCATAGCTTCTTGTCCGAGAGTTTTGACATCTGCCTGCCAGCCTCAGAGTAGTCAGTGGCAGGAGGCCACACAGCACCAGGAGAAGGGTCCAGCTAGCACAGTGTTTCTCCATCTCTGTGTGTCTGATTCTTAGTTTGTTTGAACAGGACTAAAGCTCAAGTGGGAGGGGCCAGTTGAGGCCAAGCTCCTCCCATTTTCAGAAAGTACACATATAATCCATATAATAACAGAAGAAATTGCACTAACACTCCACTCGAATTAAGTGTATTTACTTATATAGAACACACGTGATTTGACTTATTTTTCCCTTTACCATTTAAGGACAAAATCTGACATTCATTGCAAGCATAACTATCTAGTATTTGATTTGTCTTTTTGTATGTTATTCAAAATTCCTTTTTATTGATGCAGGGTCTTCTTGTGTTACAGCCATAAGTCAAGATTCGGAGCAGGGCCCATATCTGTAACTAGCTTCATTTAGGGTCTGTAAGAGAAAAATAGTCAAGTTTCACAGGCTCTCGTTTGTGTGGATATTACTAATCATATCTGAATCCACACTCAGTTCATTATTACCATGGTGAGGGACACAGACAGGCCACAGGCCCCATAACACCTAGTTAGAGAGACTGAGGCCTTCGCCAGGGGCCGAACAACCCGTATTTTCACAGTAGCAAAAATCAACACTCACTTTGGTTCAGAGGATTCCTTATGGTCTCTCTGAGCCATTTCCATATTTGGAACACCTTGGAATATAACAAAAAGTCCAACAAAGCTAATTGTAAATCCAGTACCTTACTAAGTGAAAATCATGATCTCCAGTTATCTATCTGGAAGCTTGTTGCCTGCGGTTGCCTGCAACTAGAAGCTGCTCTCTCCACAGTGATGTAAAGTGGGTTACTTTATCCACAAAGTGGCAGCACTGAGCAGGTTACCTAACAGCCCCTGAATGCGTTCTTTTATGGTGAGAATGTTATGCTAGTCAGTATAACATCTGACACTGTGGAAATTAAGAATACTTAACTTGCCTATAGAACGTTTTAGATAGAAGAGGGTTTCGTGACATTATTATAAAATTATCTTTGAACAGTCTGAAGCATGTTGCAGTTCTAAAAATGTTTAGTTTAGAGATTATTTGAAAGTTACGAAAGTTTTATTACAGAATTCTAAGCACAATCCTTTGTCTTGTTAATTCTTTAATATGTGGGAAGAATTTGTTAATTATAGTTTTAATGCTTTCTATAAAGAAATAGGATAGAGTGATGGTATAAAAGAAAATAGAGAGAGAGGTGAAATGATAAAACTTTTAAAAATGTGTTTATTTTTTATTTATTAAGATTGAAAACTAAAATAAGACAGTAAAGTTCACAGAAAAGTCTCTCATGAAACTGAATAGAGATTCAAGACTGTACTACAGTCCAGAGTTGCCTCTTTTAGCTAGTACTTCTTTTTGTGTAATTCATTGTTTAAAATTCAGAATTGCACATACATACAGTGTTTTTAGGAGGGGGTGATCCTTTTTTCAACTCAGTGATTCTGTTTTTTTTTCTTCTTTTTTTCTGACATGTTGGTGTTATATCTTTCACTTGGATGTTGTAAGTTGCACTGAGTAAATACAGCTGGATAACACAAAAAAAAATGTGTCCGTGTTCATTTCAGGCTGCAACGCAACAAGATGTGATTAAAGGGAGGTGATTCTTTTCTATACCCACTGTATTTTAAAGGTGATTTTTGTACATCTAAATGTATGTATTTTAATATCCACCAAAAATAATTGTAAAAATAAGCATTTGTGACAAAATTTATATTGAAAGTAAACGTCATAAAAGAATATGATAATTTATATTCCAAAGTTGGCAAATTAGGCAAATTTGCTTGTTTCTTCATTTTATAAAAAAGTACAAACCAGAAGCAGAAATAAAATATCTTTCTGTTTACAGAAATTGAACAGATATTAATAATCAACTTATTGATTTCAGAAATAAAAAGTAAATGGGGAAAACTAAAAGACAGAAGTAAAAACTTGTGAACCAAATAAGGCATACAAACATAAATGAACAAATTAATAAATCAGTGTTTTTTAAAATATTACAAACAAACATAATGATGGCTAAATGAAATAAAAACAGTAAAATGTTTACAAAAATTCATTTTAAAGCTTTCTTATTTTTCGAAGTTAATATTGTTTTTTTGATATTGTTGAACTGCTGCCTTCAAAATTCGAAACAATGGTTTAATTCCCCCATGTTTACATTTATGAATAAATAGTAGTGTATTTTGTGGTTTTTTTTATAAATCGAAGCTTCACACTGTATCAGTCATTGCATCTCACCTGTATCTACCCTGTTTGTGTGTGCCCGCCTCCTCCCATTGAACTGATGACGCAATGAGAAGGTGTGGCCTAATTATCTTTACAGCAGCGCTTCCGAGGCGGTCATCAGTAGTACCTCCCTGCCACCTTTCATGCTAAGTGTGGAGCAGGAACTTCCCAGGTAGGAAAAACAAAGCGTTTCTTATTCTACACAGTCAATAGGGACATTTTGACTACTAACAGACGCTTTCTTACCGACTTGACAAGAAAATTATTTTGAATATAAAACACTCAAGTTCTTAAGTCTTTTAATTAAGCCTTTATTTGCTGTGAGTGTGAAGTTGATACGAACAGCTTGGGCTGTTTTATTTACACTGCATTAGACTAATGTTGTTGATTCAACAGTTTCAATTCCATAAGATACCACATCATGTTAATAATAAACGCTTTAGCCAGAGGTTCTGGTTTACATCCATTTATGTCATCCTAAGACTGTTTCCTCCATTATGATCCACAGACTGGGAAGCAGCCTGTTTTATTCCAAGAAAACACTTTTCAGCAACATTAAACATAATGGTGGGGAAATATCGGCATTAAGAAGGTCAGAGCCACCTATATGTCTTAGTTACCAGAGCTCTTAAAACCTGTTTAGCCAATTGTAAGGGGTGTAGTCACTGGGCCACTGAGTAGTCTTGAATGACTACTGGAATGTGGGAGAAACACTGAAATTTTGTTATGTTGGTCGTTTCCACAAAAGAAGCTCCTAGACAACAATAGAAATGCCCCAAGGAAGACATGAATAATGTGTTGTTCGGATACACATAGAGTATAGGGAAGAAACCCAAGCTCTTTACAGTCCTGGAGGATTAGATGTTGTGAATGAATACACCTGCCAGCTTTGTGTCATACATTTCAGGGTGAGTTCACCTGTTCCAACATGTTTTTGTCCATAGGAAGATTTATAAGGAAGAACAATAAATCAACTGATGATTCCACCCTCGAAGGAAGCTTCCGCCTCAGTACACCCTACATGTGACACACACAAGTGTTGATCATCTTTTGAAGGATATACAAAACCAAAAGGTGTCAGGTTCTGTGTTTTCTTGTTAACTCTGAAGAAAATCCAGGCTAGACTAGAGCATTGGACATTTCGACTGGGAAGGATGCAGATGAACAACTTTTGACTATCAGGACGGTTACTTGGGAGTCCTGTTCAGCCGTGAACTTTAGGGACGGACCAATGTTTCCATCCAAGAAGGAGAACCTACCCTCTCCCATCCTGGAGGATTCTTTCTTCCCCTTTTCTTCATCACACTCTTCCTCCGGTCACCGGATCATGGCTCCTACAATGGGAGTAGATGATCTTCTCACCTCACCTCAGAATGACAGCAGTCCTACACTGCTGGAAAAGGACCTGATCTTGGCTGCTGAGGTGGGCCAAGCTTTGCTGGAGAAAAACGAGGAGCTGGCAGCTCAGATAGAGCAGATGGAAAGGGAGATGGAGGTATGAATGAGAATGAGTGGTCAGAAGTGATGGAGTCTCTATAAAGGCCTGTTCACACGATAACTATAAAGTTGTACTAATCATTCAAATTCTATGAGAATAGCGATAGACCACACCACAACTATAACAACACAGAAGAACGATATCATTAGAATTATTTTTAGAACAATTTTTTTCAGCTGATAACAAAAAAATTAACAGCCAGTTGGAATCCACCTGACTTTAACAAGCTCAAACGTTTAAAACAGCAGACAAACTGCAGTGCATGCTTATAATAAACAGAACATTATCGTCTGCTGGTGTGTACGCTAGTTATCTGTTTTAGTTATCTTTATCATTCTTGGTGTGAACGGACCTTAACTCAGTAAAGTAACATGTTTATGTTTACAAACAATCTAAACTCTTTTGTTTAGCTATATTTTTCAGATTTATTTAAAATATTCTTTATTGTCCAGCAGAGAAATTTGCGTCTATGGTGCTGTTACACATACACAGTACGTTGTTAATTCTTTAAATCATTATAATAAGAATAAGAAGAGTAAATAATAACGGCATATAAAACATCTATCACAATAATAAATAAAAAAAACAATAAAATGCACGCAGAATGCTAGTCTAAAATTAACACCATGTACCAAATGGCTGTATCTCCCAAAAATGTGCCAATTTTATTTTAATACCTTGTTATTTACTATTGTAATGGAAGAAAGATTTAAAAGGTTTTTATAGATTAGATTTATACCACCATTCATTTATTTAATACTTAGTTAAGGTATTCAGTAAGGACACATTAAATTGATCGAAAAATACAGTAAAGACTTTTTATAAAATGTTTTTATTTCAAAGAAATGCTGTTCTTTTGAACTTCCTATTCATCAAATAATCTTGAAAAATATATCATGATTTGCACAAAAATATTTAGCAGTACTGATCAGCAGCAACATTGATAATAAGTAAGCACCAAATCAGCATATTAGAATGATTTCTAAAGCATCATGTGACACTGAAGACTGGAGTTATGACTGCTGAAAATTCAGCTTTGCTCACACTGGAATAAATTACATTTAAAATATATTAAAATGAAAAATGTAAATTGTAATTATATTTTACAATATTTCTGTTTTTATTGTATTCAGCCTTGGTGAGCATAAGAGACTTCTTTAAAAAACCAAACAAACAAAAAAAACGGTACGTTTCTTAACAAAATTCTTAACAAGCTTAAAACTATAGTATTAAAACTATAAACCATCTACTAGAGGACTTGCCAAGAAGTACAAGAAATAAAGATAAATAGGAAAATGCTCAAACATGATTGATTTTGAGTGTTTATATCTCCTGCATAGTGAAATGATGTTGCATATGATGCAGCAACAGTGATATTTTATGGTGGCTCTTCATTTAGAGTTGTATCAATGGTCTCAAAAAACTTGAATGATAGAACCTGTAATAAATGTTACTTTATACCCATTACACCACCTTCTAGAACCTCAAAATAAACATTTCACCATAAAAGACCCATTTAGGTAGATATCATTCTAAATCAAACCTGTTAACAGCATTAGAACTCTTTTAAAGTGTGTGAATTACAGACAAAGTTTGTTCTGTACAACAGGCCATGCAGCAGGAGAAACACGTGCTGCAGCGATGTCTGGAGGTGCGGGACCTCGAGGCAAGTCAGCGGGAAGCAGAACTGCAGGCTGACATCACAGCGTTGCGTGCGCAGTTGGAACAAAAACACATTCAGAGTCGTGACCGGCGTCATGAAGAAAGTGAGCAGCTGACTCAGCTATCCAACCACAACCAAAAACTTGTGGAACAGCTGGCAGAGGTGACCAGACAATCAGAATATTTAAGTCCCCAGTTTTCTATTTTTAACAACTTCTTGCAAATCTTGTGAAGAGGCATCCAGGTTTATGTGGGTAAACATGTCTAGTGACGTAGTAACACGGATACAGTTAGATACAGGGCTGGAATGAAGATCAGCAGGTTTAGGTATCTGTCTGATGTCAGAAGCAGTCCTAGAAATAATGTTTGGCTACATCTAAACCTTTCTCTCTCCTTTTTTTCTTCCAGGCAGTGGCTTTAGAGCATACTTTGCGTACTGAGCGAAGACTGGAGTTATGACTGCTGAAAATTCAGCTTTGCTCACACTGGAATAAATTACATTTAAAATATATTAAAATGAAAAATGTAAATTGTAATTATATTTTACAATATTTCTGTTTTTATTGTATTCAGCCTTGGTGAGCATAAGAGACTTCTTTAAAAAACCAAACAAACAAAAAAAACGGTACATTTCTTAACAAAATTCTTAACAAGCTTAAAACTATAGTATTAAAACTATAAACCATCTACTAGAGGACTTGCCAAGAAGTACAAGAAATAAAGATAAATAGGAAAATGCTCAAACATGATTGATTTTGAGTGTTTATATCTCCTGCATAGTGAAATGATGTTGCATATGATGCAGCAACAGTGATATTTTATGGTGGCTCTTCATTTAGAGTTGTATCAATGGTCTCAAAAAACTTGAATGATAGAACCTGTAATAAATGTTACTTTATACCCATTACACCACCTTCTAGAACCTCAAAATAAACATTTCACCATAAAAGACCCATTTAGGTAGATATCATTCTAAATCAAACCTGTTAACAGCATTAGAACTCTTTTAAAGTGTGTGAATTACAGACAAAGTTTGTTCTGTACAACAGGCCATGCAGCAGGAGAAACACGTGCTGCAGCGATGTCTGGAGGTGCGGGACCTCGAGGCAAGTCAGCGGGAAGCAGAACTGCAGGCTGACATCACAGCGTTGCGTGCGCAGTTGGAACAAAAACACATTCAGAGTCGTGACCGGCGTCATGAAGAAAGTGAGCAGCTGACTCAGCTATCCAACCACAACCAAAAACTTGTGGAACAGCTGGCAGAGGTGACCAGACAATCAGAATATTTAAGTCCCCAGTTTTCTATTTTTAACAACTTCTTGCAAATCTTGTGAAGAGGCATCCAGGTTTATGTGGGTAAACATGTCTAGTGACGTAGTAACACGGATACAGTTAGATACAGGGCTGGAATGAAGATCAGCAGGTTTAGGTATCTGTCTGATGTCAGAAGCAGTCCTAGAAATAATGTTTGGCTACATCTAAACCTTTCTCTCTCCTTTTTTTCTTCCAGGCAGTGGCTTTAGAGCATACTTTGCGTACTGAGCTTCGTTCTTTGAGAGAAGAAATGGAGGATACAAGTTTTAGAAAATCCATAAGCTCTGCTAGACTGGACAGTCTGCAAGCAGAGGTATAGACACAAAATTAGTGATCAAAGTAGAATTAGACCAATATATCGGCCAGGCCAATTAATTTTGACATGATCAACTTTGATTGATAGCAAAATAATAAAAGAAAGTATGTTGATTCAATGTTTTTGTGTTATTTTTCACTACTGATCATATATCATAGAACAGTGTTTTGAAAGAGCGCTGTACTCATATGGATGAACGACTGAAGTCAACTCAAGAAGACAACCACCGGCTGAGATCTGAGAGGGATGGATTGAGAGAGAGGGTGATTGAGCTACAGACCGGTCTGAAAGATAAAGAAACGGAGGTGAGGAATATGTGCCAGATGATAGAATTTGGGAAAGAAAGTTTATAGAACATGGGGAGCAAGTGTGAATCTCTGTATAGGATAGATGTCTCATATAAATACTGCATACAATTAGAATTTACTCCCTACATTTAACATAAGAATTGATTTGTAGCATTTAGTAATGTGAAGCAGCACCAAGGCTCGTCCTAATCTACAAACTCCCACTACCAGTACTGTTGGGAAGTCCATTTCACACAAGAGTCCACCACAAAGAATGAAGCACTAGTAAAATGTCTAATTTAATATTATGAAATAAATATAATTTTCTATTAATCAAATCCTGAAAAAAATGCATCAGTGTTCCACATAAATTAAGCAACATAACTGTTAATAAAAAAAAAAAAAATCACTTAAATAACCCAATAAAATGCATTGTAAAACATCATAAAACAATCATTAAATTGATCAAAAGAGTCAATAAAGACATTTGTTACAAAAAATTCTTTCAAATAAATGCTTTTGAACTTTCTATTCATCAAAAAAAACCTGATAAATATATAACAATTCAAAATATTAAGCAGCACAACTGTTTTTTCCACAATGATAATAATAAGAAATGTTTCTTTAGCACCAAATCAGTCTAGTTTTGATCAAATACATGCAGCCTTGCTGAGCATAAGCCTCTTTCAAAAACATAAAAAAATCTTACCAACCCCAAAACTTTGAACTGTACTGTATGTTTGTTTGAAAAACTTTTTAGTCAGAATACATGGATATTTTTAAATGGCTGTCAATGGAAAAAGATGGTATGGTTATGACATTTACCAGCTGGGGCTAACTGGACTATGCTAACCCACTAAACTTTGACCCTTTGACCTTAACAGTAGATCAGTGGCTTCTAGCAACTTCATCCTTTGCTGTTTGATGCATGCACATATAAAATGGCTTAATTAAAAAAAAATATATAAAATTAAAAATGTTTTATTTTTTATTATTTAATTGTATTTTAAAGCAAAATGGACAATTCTGTTCTGGGAGGCATTGTGGGCAGAGATGCACACTTTGAAAATCCACTGAATAAAGTGTACCATATGGCCACCATGACATACGATTTTCAACATACTGTGATTTGAGGCAAACTAAATCTAATCCTGCATACCACTGGTCCTAAATTGTATGAGAATTGGGATTGGGGCAGCCTAAGTTTCGGGTTCAGATTTCGCTGGTCAGAGTCCACCCACCCCTAGAGAGTTTCAGTCTGGCTGTCTCTGGCTCTTTCACAGCTGGAACAGGAGCACAGCACAGTGTTTCAGCTGCGCACAGTCAACCGTACCCTACAGCAAAGGTTTGAAGCCTTGGGAGAAGAGGCCAATCTGGGGGAGACTACCTGTTTCCCTTTGTCACTTCAGAGTGAGATCCAACAGTCCCAGGTAGCACTTAACCCCTGTTTAGTAAAAAGATAGGTGTGCATGCTTCAACTTAGCTTGTAGCAAATGTTTACAGCACTGCAAGCAATGTATATTGACTATCAAAAGTCTTTGGGTTTTATGTAAGTAAGTGTTTGTTTTTCTCCTCACCCAGCTTTTCTCTTCACCACACTTTCTATTTCTGCTGACTGGTTGTTTTCATTTTGATCTCCAACAGGCCAAAGAAACCATTTTGGCCCATTCAGCCATTTTGCAAGAAAAAGAAGAAGAAATTCAGAGGTTACAGAAAGAGGTTAGATGAATAATACGATGACATCACAATAGCATGCATATAGACTGAGTATCTTCATCTAAGGTGATATGCGATGTTTTGTTCTTTCATCAGCTACAGTCTAGAGAAACTGAATTAGAAGAGCTGAGGGAGGAGGTGAAGCCATTTCATAACAGTCCTGGTAAACCTACTTACAGGTGAGAACTGGATCAAAAGGCTTTTCAACTTATACCTTTTTGTTCTCTGTGTGTCATATTTAATGCCAGAGATAAAGTGATAAGCTAACGATGTGTGATGAATGGGGGATATTTTGCATAATAGTCTAAGGGTAGCTTGAAACGGTCTATTGTTTTGTTCAACCCAAACTTTTTCTTCCTTATCACCCATAGTGCCTTGGAAGAGGAGATCATTTTGGCCCGACAAGAACGTGATGCACTCAACCAGCAGCTTCTGAACACTATTAGACACAAAGTGGCACTGTCTCAGGAAGTTGATTCTTGGCAGGTTGGTAACTTGTAATTGATTTCTAATCCAGTAATGCCCATTGGATTTTGTTAGTATAGTGGTATGCCCTAGAAACCACCTGTTATGTTTTGCACAGGAAGTACTACTTACATTTTTTCCATAAAATATATATCTACCATGCATTGTACAGAGAGCCGTCTTTGACATCCTTCTTGAATTCAGAAACACAGTTCACAGAAACACAGTCCTCATTACTGTTTTTTGCTAGGCTAGTTCAGTTGTTTGGAGTTCCTTAGGGGTTAGTCTTAGGACCCTTTTAGTTCCTGCAGTGACAAACTGTATTGAACATACACTGTATTATTGTAAATGATAGTTAACTTCCACTATGCATTGCACATATTTAGCAATAAATACTTATTATATATAGAAATAGTAAAAATCTAGTTTTGCTCTTTTACTTTCATTGACCAACAAATTTTTGTTCCAGGAGGACATGCGTCTGGTGATCTGTCATCAGGTTCAACTCCAACAACAAGAGAAGGAAAAGGAAAACAAAGAACAGACAGGCTTTCAAAGAGGCACTCGCACCACCAAATCACTGCGTGTAAGTGGGGAAGATGGAAGGAAAGGGTTTTTCTCTTCTCTGTTTGGGGGAGACTGACTAGACGACAAATAAGAAGGGACAAGAAAGGAAGAGAATACAATAACGAGAGATTTCTCACTTTTGTCTACAAATGGCAAATAATCTTTAAAATCATCCAAATGTGTGAATAGAAAGAAATTATATGTACTCCATAGTGGCACTATTGCATATTTATGTTTTCCAATATTTATTTGCAACTTCAAAATCATACATAAAAATAAATGTATAGCATTTACTTTTTTCTCGACTCTTTTATAGGAGGGGTTAATCATTCTTAAACCATAAAAGAAACGACGTCTTTAGCACCATTAAAGGCAGCGTTCAGTAAGGCATTATGCAGCATTACAGTCAGTAACATTTCATGTAAACAAAACCTTCTCACTCTCAGGCTGTCATATTTTTAAATGACAAGACAGACTTGTGCCCCAATATACATATAACCCAGGATAATAAAAAAAAAAAAAACTTTTACTAGATATTGTAGCACCATTTTAAAATAGAAAATGTTTAGAAAGTGCTTTACAGAAAACAAGTGTTTGGACATAAACACATTCACATACATATGGTAGGATATGACATGAAAATAAAACCGGCACAGTAAAACGGTTGTGTCATGAAAGATACATGAAGATTATTTATATCTTTTGTGTGCCAGTAGTGAATATGAATTAGATTTCTAAACATTCCTTTTACAAATACTGTAATAATTCGGAACAAAAACTCTTATAAACAGGAGACAAACAAACTATCAACTATCTTACAAACTGTCTTTGAATCCGTTTAAAAAACAAAAACAAGAATTCTATGAAAACTGTGGGAACTGCACTACATTACACTCTTTTTAAGAACTTGTGAAAAGATGCTATAAAGAGGATGTTTAAAAAAATATTTCCATTAATCAGATTTTTGGAGTGACCACCATTTAGCAGTTGTTTCTATTTATTTTCATCTTCCATCAGATTTTATATATAGAGATTTTCACTGTAGTTGTCTCAGATCCCAGTTTGTGTAAATTATGGTATGGTAATTTTGGTATGTATTTTGCATGACATAGAATACACTAGAATACTCTTAGAATTTCAATTGTCCAATATTTCAGGTCAATCAGGTATTGCACTGCATCTTAATTTGCTTAATGTAGCATCTGGAGTCCGTCATCAAAGTGTCTGAATGGCCATTTATTGCCTAGATGATCAGTCATTTGACGAGTTGCATCACAGTGACAGAATGTGCAGCTCAAACTTATTCCTGAAGTAGGCGCACTTTCCATAGTTCAAAATGTGTTCAACATGGCCCGCTTATAGTACCTCAACTGGGCAATCAGCAACAAGATGGCCATTAACCAGCAATGTTTAGGTCCAACGTTCCTTCTATTCTACCATACAGAATTCAGTTTTAGAGTCAAACAGATTTTCGTGTATAGAGCATGATATCTGGAAGATCCAAGAGTTCCTGATGCAGGAGAAAACTGTAAGTGCTATTAAGATGAACGGATAGTCCTCTCCAGGCATAACAGACCCCCAGATTAGGTTTCTATACCAGCATCTTCTCAAGTGTTATTCCTTGATGTTATGGATGTTCTAATCATCTGCATCACCAAATTTAACACAGAGTTTTGCATGGCTCTGGTGAAAGGTGGATACTTTTTTGCTTGAATTTGGTTACAGACTCCACCTTTCGAAGTAGGTTCAGGATATGTAGATCCTCTTTAAGGGCCTTCATAGTTTAGATCAGGGGTGGGGAACGTTGATCCTGGAGGGCCTGTGTCCCTGCAGAGTGTAGCTCCAACCCTAATCAAACACACCTGAACAAGCTAATCAAGGTCTTCAGGATACAGGTAGGTATTTTTTTTCAGGGTTGGAGCTAAACTCTGCAGGACAATGGCCCTCCAGGATCAACGTTCCCCACCCCTGGTTTACACAGTAGAGATTTGGAAGTTCATAAATACTTTTGTCTTGGTTCATAGCCACTGTCTGAGAAATCAGGTAAGAAGAAGTCATCCTCCTCCTCCTCATCTTCAGCAGGCACTTCTCTTTCACAGCTATTGCCAGAAGAACAGGAAAGAGTTTCTTCTGCATAATATCTAATCGTCTCTGAGTTTACAAACGTGTTCATAATAACTGTTTGTAGTATTCTGGATGATCTCAAATGGTTTAAATTACAAGCACAGGAAGATCCAGATTCACTACCTGGATGCATATTTTCCTCAATCTTTTCAGATATTACATTTTCATTTTCTTCACTATCCTCCATATCATTAGCTATTGTGTACTTATAACATTGATTTGATGTATCGGCCTCCTCAGCTTGCTCTGGTGGGATGACATTAGCGACGGATGTTGGTTGATAGAACAGAGAGCCGTCCTTGGAGTCTTCCTCCCATGAAGAAAAATGGCCCTCTGTGTTCGTTGCTGTTTTTGGCGGTGTCACTGTAATTGGCTGGTATTCCTCAAGGATTGGTTTTAGGACCCATTTATATCCTGGAAAAACAATCTGTAAAGGACAAACAAACACTGTATTATTGTAAAGGGTAGTGAACATCTACCATGCATTGCATTTATTTATTTGGTAACATTTTACAATAAGGTTCCATTAATTAACTTTAGTAAAAGCATTAACTAACATTAATAATGAACAGTTGTATTTTTATTAATACAACTGTTCATTGTTATTTAATTTTAGCTCAGGTTTCATTATAAGTACACAATAAGTACACAAGTGTGAATAAATACATCCATTAAAATGACTCGGAGACCAGTTAAAATAATAGAAAAATTGTCTCAGAAAACAAAGTTAGTTCCTAGAACAGCTCTAGCAACATTTGTTTGCAGATGCCACACAATTTGATATTTTGTATCTAATGCATTGAAATTCAGATTTTTTAAGTTTTACTTGAGGCCTATATACACATAATAAATGTATACTGTATATAAAAATATTAAACATCTTGGAAGGGTAATGTCCAAAAAAATCAAGTAATGTAAAGTCAAATTAGGACATACACAAAGCTTTATGAACAACAGTATTGAAGTACATACCAAATGTTTTGGAATGTGGAGATTCTTGTTTTTATGCCTCATGTGGTAAAAACAACCAAAAGACAAAAAAATCCCAGTTGAAAAAATAATCAGCAGTATGGCCACAATGCACACCAGCATAAAGCTTCTAGTAGAATCTATAAGAACATACACATTAACATACATAAAATACCGTTGTAATAAAGTTGCTTTTATGTTTTTGAAGTTATGCTCTCCAAGGCTGCATTTATTTGGTCAGAAATACAGTAAAACAGTAATATTGTTAAAAATTATTACAGTTTAAAATAACCGTTTTCTGTTTTAAAATGTAATTTATTCCTGTAATGCAAAGTTGAATTTTCAGCATCATTACTCCAGTCTTTAGTATCACATGATCCTTCAGAAATCATAATTGCTGCTCAAGGAACATTTCTTCTTATTATTTTATAATTTTTATAAATGTCAGAAACAGTGCTGCTTTCTAGTTTTGTGGAAATTGTAATATATTTTCTTGAGGATTCTTCGATGAATAGAAAGCTCAAAAGAGCATTTACTGTATTTGAAATAGAAATCTTTTGTAACATTATACATTTTTTACTCTCACTTTTGATCAATTCAATGCATCCTCGCTGAATAAAAGTATTAATCTCTCTCTCCAGATATACACACTCTGAATACTATAAAAAATAAAATTATATCCATTACCTAATAGAAATATACATTTGTTGGTGTTGAAGTTGTTGTTCTTCAAGGCTTGTTGATGACTGGCAGAAACACTAACACAGTAGTTCTTGCCAGATGGCACATCACGGAAAATGTAGGGAGATTCTGAGGTTGATATCAGTGCTACAAACTAAAAAAAAAAAAATTATTACATAAATAAAAAATAAAAAAATCAACAAATTTTAAGTAATGAATGTAGAAATTTCATTGTAAAAATCAGCGATTGTACAAGACAAAAATGCTATGCATTTACCTTTGATTCCCCTGCAGGACTGTTCTCAAAAATGTATAGCAGGTATTCCAGTGGTTTGATCTCTGGTTTCAATTCCAGACAATGACTAAAATTAATTTTAATGGACTTTTGTTCAGTTGAGATTTTTACATCTGGGGAACTCAGGTGTGCTACAGAATAATCCAACAGAAAGTCAAACAAAGGAGCATTATTTAGCTTTCCTGACAAAAACAATTTACGACATTCATTCTGGATGTCTTATATAATATATTTGAACTTACTGTCTCCATATGGCTGGAAAGACTTTAATGTAGTTGTCCAGTTGGAGCGTGCCCTTTTAAGTGTTGTCTTGACCCTCACAAAATAATTCCAGTGAAGCTCAGGTTGCAGATTGAAGGTCAGTTCGCATTTAAGTATGGCTATGTTAGTGCAGTGTGGAGAGCAATTCCACTTTCCTCCAGACCTACCTGAAAAAACATCATCATGAGTACTATAAACAATTAAAAAAAAAAAAAAGTTATTATTTATTTATTTTTTGATAAAGTCTGTATGTACATTTTTCGTGCAGTTATAAACTCCAAGGTATATCTGCTGTCAGGAGGATTTCCTTTCCCAGGAAGCCATTCAGCTGTAGCCTTAAAATCCAATAATCCCACAGTCAGATTCTTTGGAGGAGAAAGAATTGCTAAAAAGAAAAAAGAAAACTTGACATTAATTACAAAACAAACTAATTTAATATATATGAATAAATGCCAAAATACATACAACACAATAATGGTGTGTGCATGCAACAAAATAGTAGTTATATATTTGCATCGTGAGGTTAAGAAGGAAGGTTAGCATTTGTGTTACATATCTGCCCTACATCTAAGCAACTGTCAAAATCACAGTTCAGATGCAGAAAAAATTTACACTACCTAGGGATGGCGTCAGACATATCTGGAGCAATGTGAACATGCAGGCTAGGAAGTGGGTCATAGTGTCATTAAATCATGTCAAACCTTTAAAAAGGCTGGAAGTTTATCCTTAATTGCCCCTAAGGTTTGAAAAAAATAAAAAATAAATGTATAAAGACAGCATTACATAAATAGAAATATGCAAAATAACATAATTAGTCTGGTGCAAACAATATTTGACTTAAAGGGCCAGAGCAAGATTACAGTTAGAATATTAGAATCATTACAATATCAAAAGGAGAAATGTATTAAAATAAAACCAACAAGTGTTCAGTAAAAGCCTCAGTTACTAATTATGGACGATTAAAGTCATGCTCACCACGCTGGAGTCATCTCTGTTTCTGTAAATAAAACAACAGTCCGGAAGATAGCAGATCCATCTTACATACCAGCAGCATACTGAGATTGGGTTTAAACAAATAATCCAAGCCAAACACAACTGCTATCAAAGTGTCACTCTTTCACTACGGAGAATGTCTTGAGGATATGTCAAGCAATGCCTCCACGCAATTTTAAAAAGACGAATAAAAAACAAACATTTATCTGTCTAAACATTATACAGTACACAGAATAAGACAACAACTATCTGCAGCTTTACACTGACAGTATATCAAACAAGTCCAGACCTCTTTACTGATCTAAAGGTATATGTGTGACTTAAGCCCCTCCCCTGTTACCTGAAACATGAAAACAGGTTGTTCCAGTCTCCAGGGTGGAATCTCGCCTGTCGTCCTCATCAATCTCCACCTTTATCTCCTACATTAGCAATATATGCACTTAATATCAGCATGACTGTGGCTTTGGCCAATTGTTGTTGGTTTCTTTCTTTCTTTCTTACATCTATTTAACCATCTACAGCCTTATATCCATTAATATCATATCATGCTATGTTTGTTCATTTGGTCAGGAAATACCTGTACCCACACACCTGATAAGAGTTTGGGTTCCATGCCATTGGCCTGCATAGCTGAGGTCTAAAAGACACTCAACTAAGTAATATTAGTTACTATTAGTTCAGTAATATTACTGATATGACTGCATGGACACCATCGGATGAAAACAAATGGAATTAAACTGGATGATGGCACTATTGTCTTCTGTAGAGCTGCTTTAGAGCTGAATCACATCTTGCAACAACTGAATCAACACTGAACTGGCTTGAGCTGAATAAAAACATTACTGTCTTCTGCAGAACTGCTTATAGCTGAAGTGAACTTCTTTCAAAATTAATTAAAGGGGTCATATGATGTTGCTAAAAAGAACATTATTTTGTGTATTTGGTGTAATGAAATGTTTATGCGGTTTAAGGTTAAAAAAACACATTTTCCACGTACTGTACATTATTGTTTCTACTCTATGCCCCGCCTTTCTGTCGATTTTTACAAAGCTCATCGGTCTGGGAGTGAGCGGAGGCCGGCTTGAGTGAGCGGCGGCGGGTGTGCTTGCGGCAACCACATGTGATGACCCCGGGCTGGACTCCACTTCGTCCACGGTGAAAGCCGATCCGGCGATCCAAGAGCTTGTAACACTCCAAAGAGAAAGGAAAAATTGAAATCGCATCATATGACCCCTTTAACTTTACACTATTGAACTGTTATTGAACTGAACCAACACTGAACTGACTTGAGCTAAATAATTGCACTACTCTCTTTTTAGAGCTGCTTTAAAGCAGAATCTTAATTATCTCCATAAAGGAGTTATCATGACTGATTCTGCTATTTTTACTGTGAGGCTGCTTTGAAGCAATCCATATTATTTAAAGGGGTCATGTGATGCTGCTAAAAAGAACATTATTTTGTGTATTTGGTGTAATGAAATGTGTTTA